TATTATGTTAACATTAATATCACAACATAAGACAGTACAACCTTAAAAACCTACAGTCCTTAAAAATCCAAACATTTAAAAGTCCATAGTCTCTTTTAAAAGTCTCAACTGTGGATGGGCTTCTGTAAAATCCAAAACAAGTACTGTCTTATTTCAAAGGGAAGAATCGGGCATACCTAAGCAAAACTAAAGTCCAGCAAAGTAGCTCAAGGCTGGACATCTGGGATTCATTCACGATCTTCTGGCCTCCAAAGGGTTCTGGCAGCTCCACTTCTCTGACTGTGCCGTCCACTGCACAAACAGCTGGTCTCGCAGACCCAGGCCAGCTCCATTCCATACCTACTGCGGTCCTTGGTGGTGGTCCCACGGTCCTGTTATCTTCAAAAAGCTGGGATCTCTACTGAAACTGAGGTTACACCTTCACCAATGGCTTCTTCTTGCCTCTCCAAGTGCAAAGCCTCAGATTCTCTCCATGACTCCTTCAATCCTGGGGTCTTAACCGAAACTGAAGCTGCACTTCACCTATGGCCTTTCCTGGCCTCTGTATGCCAAGCCTCAGCTGCTCTCTGTAACCCCTTCATCCTTTCAACACCAAAACCATGCAGGAGACTCTTACACATTACCAAGTCCTGCTTCCAGCTTGCGATAGAGGCTGGGGTCCCCTCTATATGCTGGCCCTGAGGAAATAACTCCCAGAAGACTTCACCTCAGTGATGCTGGTCTCTTGTTACTTAACAGCTGATTTTTCAGCCACAGCTAACCATCAATTGTCCCAGTAAAGCAAAGGTTTTGCTTCAGGTTCTGGTCTCTTCTTAATCACAGCGATTCTTCAGCCCCAGCTGACCAGAACCCACAGATTCTTAACACAAATAGCTCTGATAGTCTCCACTTCCCTTTGAAGCTTCACAAGCCAGGCCTCCATCATCCACAACTCTTTCAGCCTAACTGTTCCAAGCTCCACAGCAACAAACTCTGAGCACACAATGGCTTTTCCAGCCCAAAGTTCCAAACACTTCCACAGTCCTCCCAAAAATACCAAGGTCAAGTCTGTCACAGCAGTACCCCACTCCTGGTACCAATTTATGTCCTGCTTTGTTTCTTCGTTGCTGTGACAAAACACTCTGACTACTACCAACTTGGGGAGGAAAGGGTTTATTCAGCTTATATCTCCCTGATCGCAGTTCATCAGGGAGCCCAAGGTAGGAACTCAGGGCAGGAACTTGGAGGCAGGAGCTGGAACACAGGCCATGAAGGAATGCTGCTTACTGGCTTGCTCCCCTGGCCCCTGCTCAGATTGCTCTCTTATCCAACACAGGCCCACCTGCCCAGGGGTAGCACCACCCACAGTGGGCTGGGCCCTCCCACATCACTCAACAATTAAGAAAATGCCTCACAGACATGGCCACAGGCCAGTCCAATGGAGTCAATTCCCCAATTGAGGCTCCCTCAACCCAGGTGTGTCAAGTTGACACAAGCTATCCAGCACAGACCCCGTTTCAAAAAAATAAGGTGCAGAGCAATAGAGGAAACACCTGATGTTGATCTCTGGCCTTCACATGTGCATGAACAGGTGAAAACACACACAGGTGCATACACATGCACACCACACATGGAGAGATTGTTTTCTGTTGTAGGATTTTATGTGAAAGGAGTCATGAATACTGTATTCTGTGTCTAGCTTTTGAGCAACATAATGTTTTTGAGGTTCTTCTATGTTAGGTGTGGTAACAGTTTTTTTTTCTTCTTCTTTTTAGCTGCAAGTGAGTGTTACATTGTGTGGATTTATTATGAAAAGGGTCGTTTCCAGCTTTCAGCTGTTATGGGTAAAGATGCTATGAACATTCTTGTGTAAGTCTTCTTGTTTCACGAGTTCTCTTTTCAGTAACTATTTAGAAGTGGAATTTCTGGGTTATAAAACAATTTCTGAGATGATTTGCCATTTTATATACTTTATTATTTTTGTTTTATGTGTATGAATGTATTCCCTGCATGTGTAAGTGCACCCATGCTGTGCTGGCGGAGGTCAGAAGAGGGCATCAGATCACCTAGAACTGGAGTTAATGGAGCGTTGTTAGCGACCATGTGGGTGCTGGGAATCAAACCCGAGTCCTATGCATTCGCAAATTTGCAATTTTATACTCTGTGGTGGTTAATATTTCTGTCAACTTGATTGGATTAAGAAATGCCCAAGACATTGGTAAAGCACACCTCCAGACAAGACTGGCCAAGAGTGGACTCACCATAAATGTAAGCAGCATTACCCATAGGCTCTGGATGTTTAACAATAAAGTGTGGGGTGGGGCGGGCGTACTAGCTAGTGCAGGCATTTTTCTCCCTGTGCTTGGTGGCTTTGATGACGTTAGCTGCTCTGCTTCATCACATGCTCCTGACCGTGCTGGGGTAGAACCTCTGAAACTACAGCCCTAAACAAAGCCTCCAAGTTGTTTTCCTCAGGTGTATGTTACAGGGACATAAAACTGACATGCATGCACTGAAGTCTGATAGTTCTGTTTGCTTCGCCTCCTCCCCAGGTTGGCAGTTCTAGCCTTCATGTTGGGGTCTCCCATTATGGTTAGAATTTTCATTTTCCTAGTCATTATTGATGATTGAGTACTTTGGTCATGTGCTTATGGATCATTTGCATATTTTCTTTTGTGAAAGACCTGTTCAAAGCCAATTGCCCATTTACTAAATTTTAGTAGATTTTTCTCCCTGTCTCTGGCTTGCCTGTTTTTTTAAATTAATATTTTATTTATTATTTTATTTTATATGTATGAGTGTATTGTCTGCATGCATGTAAGTACACCCCTGTCATGCAGTGCCCAAGGTGTCAGATCCCCTGGAACTGGAGTTACAAACAGTTGTTTGTTGTCACGTGGGTGCTGGGAATTGAACCCAGGTCCTCTGCAAGAGCAGCCAGTGTAACTGCTGAGCCATCTCTCCAGTCCCTCTGGCTTGCCTGTTGATGATGATGTCTTTCAATTTATTAGTATTTCTATTTTGTTATTTTCTTTTAGGTTAGTGTTTTCTGATCCTCTGTTACAAGTGAAGTATATATGCTTTTTAAAACAGCTAGCTCAACTATGTATTTTCTGTGGGAGTATTTCTTTCAAGAAATTCTGCTCATTTTTTACTTTCAGATTCCTGTTTCTCAGCTCTTTGAGTGTACTTTTATATTCTGCCTTACGATTTTGCCTCTGGCTCCACAAACTTGAGTTCTCGCCCCTGAATTCAGGAGACTGCTGACTCTTTGGTTCCCTCCCCTGTATTGAGAGTCCAGACAGTAAACGGGGAAGTCACAGAGCTCACCTGGTTTACTTCTTTTAAGGAGCATGTTTCCACGTTGCCTGTTATCTAACCTTCAGAACTATTTGTCTTACCTAGTTTCTGCTTGGCTCTAGCATGAGAATTCTAGACTTCATGATTAGAAGTCAGTCTTTTCCCTTCGCTTGTGACAGATGTTTCTGGATATAGAGTTGTAAACTAACCTTTTTTTTCCCCCTTTCAACACTTTAAAAACCATCATTTCACTCCCGTCTAGTCTAGATTGATTCTGATGAGCAAGAAGTTAATGGTAATTCTTAGTGTCATTCACTTTGTCTCTCCTGGATGTTTTAAAAGATACATTAAAAAAAAATCTTTTGGTTTGGGCAAGTTATTCATTCTAAGACAGGGTCAGCTCTAATACAGAGGGGCACCTTTACTGGGTTCTTTCTCTGTGGAGTGCAGGAAGTGTTGTGAGGCCACTTCACTGTAGCTGCTGGGAAGTTTCACAACTCCCAGACCATTTCCAACTCAGGTAGGTGATCATCTCACTTTGTAGTTGTTCATCACCTAGATACTATTCGTCTTATGGTTTCATGGAGTCTTGGTTTTGGGTATCTTTACTCAGGGAAAGTTGGAAGATGTCACCCATGGACTTCGGAAACTTGCTCTCCTTAGCAGCCTTCTTCACAGATCCTCAAATGCCTGACACATCAGTAGCTTCAGATTTCAAGTTTCAGCAACTCTCTGAGACGTCCCCTTTTGTGTGTTTTGTTTTGTTTTGTTTTGTTTTGTTTGTTTCTCCTCTCTGTTGCATAAGCTTAAAACCTGGACATTGAGGAGTCTTTATTTCTTCTCATAAAATCACAGTCTACTGCCTTTTGTTCAAAATCTGAAAATACCGTCTTTCATATGTAGAGTTTTTTCTTGGTTTACAATACAGTTATGTTCCAATATAAACTCATTGTAAAATACCATTAAGTGAAAAATGTCTTTAATACTTAACCTACCTATCATCACAACTGGGCAACACATGTTCTGCTGAGAAGTACTGGCTGCTCACAACTGACCACTTGACTCACTGGAAACTGGCTTCTGCTGCTGTCCAGCATCTAAAGAGTATCATACTGCATATTGCCAACCTCAGATCAAAATTCCAAGTATAGATAGAGTCTACTGAATGTAAAGCCATTTTAACACCATTTTAGAGTCAAAAAATCCCAAATTGAACCATTAATAAATTAGAGGCTAGCTGCACTGCCTAAATTTATATTTGGTTATAGTAGGAGGTCTAGCTGAGTACCATTTACGCCAGTTCTAATTGGCAATGAAAATGTAGTTCATTTAAATTTTTCTTTTGTTAAATATTTGTTATTGTAGCTCAGACTGGCCTTGAGCTTGAAGTCTTCCTGCCTCAGCTTTCCTAATTTTCCTTTTACTTCTTTTTTTTTCCTCTCCTGCTACTAGAGATTATATCCAGGACCCTGTACATGCTGTGCAAGCCCTTTACCGCCAACCTGCATCCCCTGATCTTTTTAAAACAAATATTTTTATTTTGTGGCAATCTTACTAAGTTGTCCTGGCTGACCTTGAACTTGCTGTTCTTTTGCATTAACCTCCCTAAGAGCTGGGGTGACAGGCCTGAGCCTAGTATCTCATGCTTTCTTTTCTTTTTTAGGCTGTGGCATCATTTTTTTAAAAATGCCATGCCACCTTATTATTTAATTTTCAAGTAGTAGAAATATAGAAGATAATTTTTAAGGAGAAAAGAATAAGTCAGTATTCTAAATCCTAGAGAGTTTGTGACAGTTATCTGAACATCTTTGCAGACATCCATTGCAAATGTATACATAGAAGGATAATTTTAGTTAAAAAATTTGGAATTCATTAAACAAAAGTAACACAGGAAAAAAATTGCTCAACTACATGTAAATATTTATTCATTACAAGATCTGTACTTCCTGAAATCTTTTCTTTTAAGCTTAAGAAGTTAGGTATCAGGAAAAGTCTAAAAGGGTCATCACTAATTGCATGTTCTAATAGGTTTTTCATATTAAAAAAAAGTTAAATAGGGAGGCTGAGACAGGAGAATTGCCAAAAGTGTGAGGGCTGTCTGAGCTATATAGTGAGACCCTGTCTGGAAAAAAAAAAAAAAATCAAGTGTTGGTATAGTGTTATAGGTACAGCTTTCTAAACGGCAATTTGGCAGTATTCAAAATCCTTAAAATGTTCATATTCTTTGCCCCAAATTCTATTTTCAGGAATTTAGTCTAAGGAAATAAAGTCAAAATTGTGTATTTATATTATTCATTACAATGGAATTTATATTCGAAACTTTAGAAACCTTATAAATGATTGTTATTCTAGCTTATATCCAAACACCACAAACCATTAAAATCATGTTGCTTAAAAATTTTTAGTGTACTGATAATCATAAAAAGACTTCATAAGAGATAAAAATTAGCTTTAGAGCATATATGAGCATAAAAAGTGTTTACAATACAGCGAGTAGAAAAGTATAATGCTACTTTTGAATTCCTTTAAAGAAACATTAAGATTGTGATGCATTTTAAAGTATCTCATACTATTGAATATTTTTCACCTTTTTTTTGCTATAAACTTATCTATGTTCATAATCATCCAGAGAACAACATACTTTCATTTTTAAAATTCTGACAAAATTAATGATTGGAAAGATTTTAAATGAATTTTAGTTGTTACATTTTGCTATTTTTTTCTCTCCTATTTACAAATACTTTAGCTTGAATTTTAGTAAGCTTTATAGATTTAGTGAGATATGTATTCTTATTTGAGTATAATACATATACTGAACTTGTTAAACTAAGGTGTAATTTTCCACATTTTATAGAGTAAAATTAGGAGTTTCTGTCAAGAACTTTCTTATGCATGTGAAGAGATTTAATCTTGTTTTTTCTACCCCAGAACTTGCTAATGCACACCTGCTTGCAGATGTGTCTATCTTTTGTGTTAGAGGAAGAATGGAAGTTATACTCTCTGGATTTTTAAATGGATGGATGGTACCTGCTTTCTCTATTCCTGGTATTTCTGGAAGTCACTTGAGTGACTCAGATTCCTAAATTGCCTTGTATAGAACATGTTAAAAATGTAGAGAAAGTTAATATTTATTATGAGTTAAAGCATGTAGTTAATGAATAAAGACGTAGGCTAGGGTGGCCCCATTCATTCATCCATTCATTCGAGAATGGCTTTAATGTAAATCTTCTAGGATGTGTTTTCCTTGGTAGTTGCAGATCCAGAAAGTCATTTGACTGAGAGAAATTGATTTTTTGTGCTAAGTAAACTTAGAGAAGATTAATCTAGAAAACAGCCTATTTTTATATATGTATTAAGATTTTAAAATATCAAGGCTCATATAATGGTCTACACCTTTATTAAAAAGTATCTGCCAGTGATCACAGCTTGCTGCTATTGTCTGAAAGTTTGAGGCAGTGGTTTGTTTTTCTTTATGTATTGTTGGGCTTTGTGAAGGGCTCTGCAGTTGTGGACAAGTTTCATATCTTGAGCCTCAATTTTCTCATCAAAATAGTGTTAATAATCAGCAG